ATGCCATTTTAAAAACTTTGGTACACTTTAATAATTGTCACCTCACCATGGCTATGAAAACCTTATACTAAGGTTTTGGTTTTTATTTTTTGGATGTTTGTACTATTTCTGTAAATATACTATTTACGGTATTAGCCCTGCGATGGACTGGCGACCTGTCCAGGGTGTAACCCGCCTCTCGCCCATTGACAGCTGGAGATAGGCACCAGCACCCCTCGAGACCCCAATTGGGACAAGCGTGTTAGATAATGGATGGATGGATGGATGGATACTATTTATTATTTATAAGTACAAAATCCAAAGGTTTCAGTTTGATGATTTGCATTTCCATACTGACCATAATATCTCTTTTTCAGTCCCTTTTTATCCTGATTTGGCCCCTTTTTTTTTTCTTTCCCAGAGATCATTGTAAATTCTTTCCACTAACGACCAAAAAAAATAAAAATAAAAAAAAAATCTGTAAGCTTTCATCATTTCATCTTCCCCTTTTTTTGCCGAATTTTCTGCATTTTCATACAAATTCTGACACTTTTCCCTTGTTTTCCTTTAATGTAAAGTTTTAACCTCAGTGGCATATTTAAGGATTAACAATAACTTGTGATAATCACACGATATGGTCTGCAGAGTCACTGGACACAAACACAGATGCATATTTATGGTTTAAACAGACTTCATGATTTCATGTATTATTTATTGTCTTAATTTATAAACCAGTTCCTTCATGAACAATCTCATGTAACAAAAACCTTGAGCAGAGATGTGTAAATTGTTCTCGGCCTTGTGCCGCATCACAACTCTAAATGAGGATCACTAGGGATTGGCAGTTATATCCTTTTATATTGAAAAATTATAAATTTTTATAAAAATTGTAATTTATTGTGTTTAAAATAAACCCTTCCCACACATCACTGTTTGAGACTTTAACCACTTCACCATGGCGACTCTAAAAATCTATTTTTTACATGCTGTGTTGCAGTAAAGTTGTGCTACTTATGTAAGTGAAAACCCCAAAGTGACCTGCTTAATAAAGAGTATGCCATGTTTTTAGGCGCTTTATATGTGCTTGTTGAATTATAACCATATGCAGTCACAGATGTGACAACAAGATAAACACAAGCCTTTAAAAAGCAAGATGGGGAATTAATTTGGAGTAGAAGTAACTTAAGGTCAAGATAAGAGAAAGCAAGGAGGCACACAGGAAGATGATGGAAAACAAGCTCCAGCTGAACAATATCAGAGATGTGTGGTCAGGCTTCAAGCAGATGGATGATCAGATAGATGGAAGTCTGTACAGAGCCAATGAACTGAACACATTCTTCAACAGATTCAGTTCAGGAACAAGCTCAGTTTCCTGCTCTCCTGCCCACAGTCACATGGACATCCTGCCTTACTTTGCCATTGATTCTCTTGCTTCTATGAGTTTGTTATCAGCCAAATCAGATGGTGCTGCTCCCTCCGCCTTTCACCTGTCTGTCTCTAGAAGTCAAGTGAAGGGACATCTGGAGAGACTGAATCACAATTAGTCACCAGGTCCTGATGACGTGAGCCCCAGAGTCCTGAAGGCCTGTGCAGAGCAGCTCTGCGGGATCCTACAGTACCTCTTCACCTCTAGCCTGACCCTGGAGACAGTTCCAGTGATGTGGAAGACCTCCTGCATGTTCGGCCAACAGTCCTCAGTGACTATAGACCTGTTGCCCTGACATCACATTCTATTGGTTCACCTCAGAAAACAAACAAACAGCTATCAGGACCCCCTGCAGTTTGCTTATTGCCATGGAGCTGGAGTTAGTTATGCCATCATACACCTGCTTCAACAAACCCACTGTCATATAGACAAGGCAGACAGTACTGTGTGGATTATGTTCTTTGGTTTCTCCAGTGCATTTAACACAATTCAGCCAGGCTTACTTTGTGAGAAACTTCAGAAGACTCAGGGGAATGCTTCAACAATTGCCTGAATCAGACTACCTGACAAACAGAGCACAGTTTGTTAGACTGAAGGGTCAGTTTCTAATCAAGTAGTCGGCAGCACAGGAGCACCACAGGGGACAGTACTCTATCCATTCCTTTACTCCGTAGACCTCTGACCTCCAGTACCAGATTTGTCATCTGCAGATATAATCGAATGACTCTGCAGCCATTGGTTGCATCAAAGATGGACAAGAAGCTGAGTACAGGAAGCTGGTGAACTGCTTTTTTAAATGGTGTGGAAACAATAATCTGATCCTAAATTTGTAGATTTCAGAAGAAAGAGGAATAAGTTTAATCCTTTTAACATCAAAGGAGCAGTGGAGGTGGTGGAGGAGTATAAATACCTTGGTGTTCATCTAGTAGCACAGCTATCAACACCTACAACACCTGTTTAAAGAATAACATATGAGTTACTGCAACATTTAACTTCCCTTTGAGATTAATAAAGTTTTTTTTTATTAAATTAAATGTGTTGCCAAGCGATGATATTGAGGCTAATATTAAGCTTAAACGTTTTTATTATAATTGTTATGATGATGATGGGAAACAAAACCTGTGATTGTTCCTACTATAGTTTCTAATAGTATCACAACTGCATGTTTCCCTGGTGCCTTTACTTTCCACTTTTTATTTATTTATTTTTTGCAATCTAATTACCGGCCCTCAAGAACTGGAATAGCCCACCCCTGCTATTGATGGTACAGGAACTTGTAAAGAACACTGTATTACACCCCGGTCTAGCGAGTGGCAGTGATAGACCAAAAGCAGCTGTAATTGCATCAACAATAGACTTCTTTAAATATATCTGAGCAATTAAACTTTATTTGATATTTTAGTTTCACACTGCTATATTCTTGCTTAATAACATATTTTTGTCACATAAACTGTAATATATGAAACCTTAATCATAGATTCATTGCTTTCATCCACTGCTGTGCTTCTATTTAAACTCTTTGCCTTTAATCCATGTTGGAGATCGGCCTGTTTTCCAAGGGAAGCCCGGTTCCCCGAACGGGAACGGCCGGAAGGGCCCCCCTCAACCCCCGAAAAGGAAAGTGGCTCAAAACCTCAAAGCCCGGCCGGGGGGTTCCCGGAACGGGCCCCCCTTTAAAACCGCCTTTTAGTATCACTGCTTCTGTCTCCTTGAACCACAGTCGGCCTCGGCAGATGGCAGCTCACACTGAGCCTGGTTCTGTTGGTGTCATAATTGGTTTAAGCGTTCTGACCCACATGCAGAGAACCACTCAGAGACCAAGGGAAAAGGTTAAACAGATTTATTCAATGTTGATGAAATACAGAAGTTGGATCAGGAACTCAGTGGACTGGTGAACCGGAACTGGAAAGTCTGAAGGGGAGATCACAGTGATCAGTTCAGGGACCGTAGGAAATTTGACTGAGGCTTGAATATTACTGGATAGGGACTCAGGTTTGAGGGGGCTCTTGTCAATCCTTGAAACCAGCTTGTGGGGGTTAATCCAGAAAAGAGGGAACTCGTTGGAGGGCGGACAGATAGACAAGCGTTGGACCCAGAGGAGTAAAGAAGCGGACTGTCACTTGGATTTCCGATGAGGACTTGAACGGATCATATGGAGGTTTCCCCGTGCTCAGTGTGTACTCAGTTAATCCTTCCATGAGGAGAAGGTCCAGGTTTCCAGTTACTCAGGAAGGCTTCCTTCCAAAGAGCAAAGACAAAAACTAGACAAGACTCAGAGAAACAAAGCTTAGGTTAGACTCTGCTAATCTCAGCTTGGCTAGAGTACCCAAAACTGGCAAACACTGTGGCGTCGAGGTAGTGACAGCCCACTGCTCAAATACTCCTCCAGTAATGATCCAACAAGCCGCAGGTGTTTTTCTCCCTCCACCAGGTGGTGGAGGGAGAAAAACACACAAACTGGATTCCTAACAGCTCGAGATTTTCCTCTCCACTGTCGCT